TACCAAAGCACTGGGATTATAGACATGAGCCATCGCGTCCAGTATATTACTGAAACTTTTAATGATGATGACAACCTTGTAACAATCCCAAAAGTACTATTATATCCATTTTACTGATGAGAAAAGCACAGCTAACATGCAGTAAAGCTGATTTCTGAATTCAAGCATTCTTATTCCAGAGCCCATGTTATTAATTCCTATACTATACTGTCTCTATATAAGCATGTAGCACATTAATCTTTTATTTTGTTTTGTTTTGAGATGGAGTCTCACTCTGTCACCAGGGCTGGAGTGCAATGGTGCGATCTCTGCTCTCTGCAACCTCTGCCTCCCAGGTTCAAGTGATTCTCCTGCCTCAGCCTCCCAAGTAGCTGGGATTACAGGTGCCAGCCACCACGCCCGGCTAATTGTTGTATTTTTAGTAGAGACAGGGTTTCACCATGTTGGCCAGGCTGGCCTCAAATTCCTGACTTCAAGTGATCCGCCTGCCTCAGCCTCCCAAAGTGCTGGGATTACAGGCTTGAACCCTGTGCCTGGCTTACATATTAATCTTTTTTTTTTTTTTTAATAATTTGCTGAGCGTGGTGGCTCATGCCTGTAATCCCAGCACTTTGGGAGGCCGAGGTGGGTGGATTACCTGAGGTCAGGAGTTCAAGACCAACCTCGCCATCAGGGTGAAACCCGATCTTAAAAATAAATAAATAAATAAATAAATAATAATTCAGTCCCCATAGGGACTGCCAAAAATTGCCAATGCCGACTATATTTCAAGTTATCATGGTGGGGTATTGGGAAAAGTTTTCAATTAGCAATAATCACGCCTTGGATAAACCTCACTGGCTATGATACTGCCACTGTGCAAAGCTGCATTTTAAATCTTTAAAGAGGGAGTATTAGAGCAACTGGAAGCAGTAGCTGCTAATGCCTAAAGTGGCAAGGCCAGTGGCAAACCTGAAAAATCTAATGGCAGCCACAAAAGCTTTATACTAGACATTAAAGTAGCTTAATATGTATCAGGCACATCCTTTTCTTTCTTTGCTTCTTTCTTTTTTTTTCCTTTTTTTTTTTGTCTCACTCTGTGGCCCAGGCTGGAAGTGCAGTGATGTAATCACAGCTCACCACAGCCTTGACCTCCTTGGCTCAAGCAATTCTTCCTCCTACCTCAGCCTCCCAAGTAGCTGGGACCACAGGCACATGTCACCACTTCAGGCTATATCACACATATCTAATGCCAGTTTATCTGAAGCAAACTGCACAGAGGAAACTTAAGAATCTGGTTATCAACATTTCGGAGAAGCAGGGAAGAATAAAATAGGAACAATCATGCATATGCATTACTAGTACGTCCTAGAGGAAACAATACCTTGGGATAAAAAGCATACATTGGTTTACTTTCAGAATCGTTCCAGAAAACATTTATAATTTAGAGAAATATATGTGTATGTTTTAAACTAACATAGAATTAGCTCTAAGACAATTTGCCAAAGAACCATTTGTTTTAAATAAGGAAGAACTGCTGAATATTTAGTGGAAGGTATGCTAAACTGACATCTGTTACAACTCTAACATAATTCTAAATTTCACATTCATTAACGACTAAGACAATGTCTCTGTAAATTAATCCTGCTTAGCTAGTCTGAATATGGTATTCTCATTCACATAAACGTACAAGATAGTGGTTGCAGCAACATATGGCATCCCATGCATTAAATACACTAAAATTCTTAGGAAAAGCACAATTTTTAAAGTAGAGGAATCTGTTACCAAGGAAAAGGGGGAGGGCTGGGAGGAAATGACACATACTTTCTCATGCAGTGTGAGATTATGCTGCAGGTTCCAGATATAACATTCAAAGCGTCTTTTTAAAAACAAAAACATTTTCCTCAATAACATCCTGAGATGTCCAGTTTTGCATGTAAATCTTGCATCCAAATGTCACCCTTTACAATAATTCCACAAATGCCCAGAATCTTTCAACAAGAACAATTAACTGTGTTTTTCCTTTCCAGAACAACCAGCTGGTTAACCAAACAGAGAAACCAAATTATCCTAGTCACCAGATGTCTTAATTTGGAACAGTTAAAAGCAATTTGGAATAATCCAATTCTTGAATTGGTACTACATGTTTACTATTGCTTCCTTTTCTAATTCTGAAAAGATGCTTTTAAGAATTAGGCAAATGCTATCTTTAATAACTGCAAAAAAAATGAGGAAAAACAAAAAGAACCATATCCTGTTATAGAATGATGTTAACATTAAGAGACAGCTACTTAAATACTGTATACATTTTAGTTAGAAACTGATAAGCTCTAACAACATTAAATCTGCTCAAAAGCTCTAAAGAATTACCCTACTCTGGCTGGGCACAGCAGCTCACGCCTGTAATCCCAGCATTTTGGGAGGCTGAGGCGGGTGGATCACCTGAGGTCGGGAGTTCAAGACCAGTCTGACCAATAGAGAAATCCCATCTCTAAAAAATAAAAATAAAAAATAAAGAATTACCCTACTTCAAAAATTGCCAGGCCCGGTGGCTCATGTCTGTAATCCCAGCACTTTGGCAGGCCAAGGCAGGCAGATGATGAGGACAGGAGTTTGACACCAGCCTGGCCAACAAGGCAAAACCCTATCTCTACTGAAAATACAAAAATTAGCCAGGTGTGGTGGCGATGCCTGTACTCCCAGCTACTCAGGAGACTGAGGCAGAAGAATGGCTTGAACCTGGGAGGCAAAGGTTGCAGTAAGCCAAGATGGTGCTACTCTGCACTCCAGCCTTGGCCACAGAGCAAGACCCTGTCTTAAAAAAAAAAAAAAAAAATAAAAAAAAAAAGCTGGGCACAGTGGCTCATGCCTATAATCCTAACACTTTGGGAGGCCGAGGTGGGTGGATCACCTGAGGACAGGAGTTCAAGACCAGCCTGGCCATCATGGTGAAATCCCATCTTGAAAAAAAAAAAATTTTTTTGAAAACAATTCTTGGCTAGCACTTTGGGAGGCTGAGGTGGGTGGATCTTTTGAGACCACCTTCCACCTTGGGCAACATGGCTAAACTCCAACTCTACAAAATCTAGCTAATTTTTTTTTTTTTTTTTTTGAGACGGAGTTTCACTCATGTTACCCAGGCTGGAGTGCAATGGCGTGATCTCGGCTCACCGCAACCTCCGCCTCCTGGGTTCAGGCAATTCTCCTGCCTCAGCCTCCTGAGTAGCTGGGATTACAGGCACGCACCACCATGCCCAGCTAATTTTTTGTATTTTTAGTAGAGATGGGGTTTCACCATGTTGACCAGGATGGTCTCGATCTCTTGACCTCGTGATCCACCCGCCTTGGCCTCCCAAAGTGCTGGGATTACAGGCTTGAGCCGCCGTGCCCGGCCAAAATCTAGCTAATTTTTGTACTTTAGAGCTAAATGTACAGGGTGCAGTAGCGTGCACCTTAGTCTCAACTACTTGGGAGGCTGAGGCAGGAGAAGCATCTGAGCCCAGGGAGGTTGAGGCTGCAAGCTGAGCTGTGATTGTGCCACTGCACTCCAGCCTGAGTGACGGAGTGAGACTCTCACTCAATAGCAAAACCCAAACTAAAACCGAACCAAACACAAAAACAGTTCTGGAAAGGTTATGACATCACAGGTCTAGAACATACCGAATTCAGCAAGGAAGAGTCATGAAGTCCCTTTCTTCATGGAGGACAGGACAGAAAGAGACAGGTGGATATACAGCCCAATAACTAATTATAATAATAAAAAGTGATGAGTGTTACAAAAAATAGCATAGGGTAAGGCAAGAAAAACGAGGCAGGAAACGCCATTTCAATTCAATCATTAAGAGAAAGCTTCCCCATGAGGTTACATTTAGCTGAGACCAAGACAAAATGAGGGAGGCAGGGGAATGGATTACATGGAACAAGGGCTTCCTAGGCAGAGAGAAACAGCAAGTGGGCCAGTGCAGCTGAAGTCAGAGAAAGAAAGAATGGTATAGAAAATGAGGCTAAAGAGGTTGCTGAAGCCAGATAAGAGCTCTGTCACGGTAAGAACTATGGATTTTATTCTCAAGTGAGAAAGCCGCTGTAGGTTGAGAGCAGGTAAGAGACACCGAGAATGGATTCCTTTGGCTGCTGCCTGGAGAACAGACTAAAGGGCAAGAATAAAAGTAGTTAGTTCAGAGGTTTGTGCAAAATTCTGAGAAAGAGTCGACAGAAGTGGCTGGGTGTAGGTCACAAATACGAAAGAATTTTCTGCTAAGACTGCATGTGGTGTGTGAGAAGAGAAGTCAAAAATGATTCTTAGTTTCTGGCTTAAGCAGCAAGGTAAATATGCTGTTGGTGTATTATTAATACTTTAATTACAAGCTTTTAAGATGATTAATTGGACAATTAGATCATTATCCAGTTGTTTATATAGGCCTTACTGATAAATTGTAATATATTAATATTAAAAAGAGAACAGAATTCTCTTTTTTTTTTGGTCTTTTGAGACCAAGTCTTGCATTGTAACCCAGGCTGGAGTGCAGTGACACAATCTCGGCTCACTGCAACCCCCAACTCCTGGGTTCAAGCAGTTCTAGTAGCTGGGATTACAGGTATCCACCACCACACCCAGCTAATTTTTGTATTTTTAGTCAAGATGGGGTTTCGCCATGTTGGCCAGGCTGGTCTCAAACTCCTGGCATTGATGATCCGCCCACCTTGGCTTCCCAAAGTGCTGATACTATAGGCATGAGCCACTGCGCCCAGCCTAGAATTCTAAATAACAATAAAAAACATACTACTGGTACTTGCAACAATGTGGATGAATCTCAGAACTGGTTAGATGCCTGACACAAAAGAGTACTACAGTGGCTGGATGTACAGGATTTCATACAAAGTTTTTAAGAAGACAAAACAAATCTACAATGTAGAAGTAAGAATATAGTTATTTTGGTGGAGAGATGTAAACTGAGAAACAGAACAAGAGAATTCTGGGTGGTGATTATGGTCAGATTCACATATTTAAAAATAAAATCATGGTGCTCACTTCAGCAGCATATATACTAACATTGGTACAATACACAGATTAGCATGACCCCTGCACAAGAATGACATGCCAGTGTGTGAAACATTCCATATTTTTAGGGGTGTGTGTGTGTGTGTGTGTGTGTGTGTGTGTGAGAGAGAGAGAGAGAGAGAGAGAGAGAGTGTCTCACTCTCTGTCACCCAGGCTGGAGTGCAATGGCAGGATCATGGCTCACTGCAATGTCAGCATCCCAGGATCAAATGATCCTCCTGCCTCAGCCTACCAAGCAGCTGAGATTACAGGCATGTGCCACCATGCCTGGCTAATTTTTGTATTTCTGTAAGAGATGGGGTTTTGCCATGTTGCCCAGACTGGTCTCAAACTTCTGGACTCAAGAGATCTGCCTGCCTCAGCCTCCCCAAAGTGCTGGGATTATAAGCATGACACACCGTGCCTGGCTTTTAGGAGTATTTTAACAAAGAAGAACATTCAGATAACAAGAAAGAATTCTTGGAAATTAAAAATAAGAGCAGAAACACAAAATCCACAGAAGAACTAAAAGATTTGGTTAAGGAATACTACCAACTAAAGTTGAAGAAGAAGAAAGAATGAAATCAGAGGACTGATCAATCTAAGTCAAACATCCTAAAAATGAAAAGTACAGAAAGAGAAGAAAGCAGAAAAGAAAAAGAAACCCTGAGTGTTCAGCAAAAAGGATGGCAAAAGAAAGCCATACCAAGCCACATATATCTTGAAATTTCATAATGCTGGAGATAAAGGAAAGATTCTAAAAGTGTCCATAGAGAAAAGAGGTCTCATAAAAAATTTGAAGAATAGCAACAGTATCAGACTTCTCAATAACAATCCTTGGGAAAAAATAAAAATAATAAAAAAATAATAATGCCTTGAAAATTCTGGGTCAAAATTACCTCTAACCTGGAGTCTTTTTAGCCAGTCAAGTTAACAATGAAATGTGGTTATAGAAGAGACATTTTATGTATGCATATTTTTAAAAATCATGGAGAATGACTCCCTGCTTCTGTGAAGCCTCACAGTGTGGAAAGAGCACAAACGGTCAGCAGATGGGGAGGAAGAGCCTGGAGGGAAGCCTCCTGTTGGGGCCTGCTGAGACTGAGTGGAGCAGCCACAAGGAGAAAACCTCCAGCATCCCAGGCCCAACACTAAGCACAAGATAGTAACAGCTCGCAGCTGAAGGCATTTGAAGTTCTGGGTATATCAATGTTAACTACAGTAACAACAAAACCCAAACCAGGCTAGACTGCTCAAACCCCAACACTCACAGTCTGACAGAAGCACAGGTATTCATTTCCAAGGCTAAATACCACTTACCTCAGTCTCTACTGTTCTTCTACACATGATGTACAGAATTCAATTTTAAAGAGAGAAATACCAACAAGTTGTCAAGAAAGGAGGTCATAAACAGAAAAAAACCCGAATACTCAGATACGCACCATACACCTACTAATAGTGTAACTATACCCTCCCACTGCTTAAAAAACTAAAAAAAATTATGAATTGGTTATTTTTAAGCAATCCCCCAAAACAGAAAATAACAAGAATTGGCAAGAATGTAAAGAACCTATAGTACAGCCAAAATGGAAAACAGTGTGAAGGTTCCTAAAACAAAAAAAAATTAAAAATCGGCTGGGCACAGTGGTCACGCCTGTAATCCCAGCACTTTGGGAGGCCAAGGTGGGTGGATCACCTGAGGTCAGGAGTTTGAGACCAGCATGACCAACATGGAGAAACCCCATCTTTGCAAAAATAAAAATTAAAAATTGCTAAGAGTTGCTAAGAGAATAGATTTTAAGTAGTCTCACCACACCCAAAAAAATGTATGTAAGGCAGTGGGTATATTAATTGGCTTGATTTAGTCATTCCACAATGTATACACACATCAAAACATCCTGCATAAATATATACAACTTTTGTCAATTAAATACATTTTTAAAAAAAGAATGTGAAGAAACTGGAACCTTTATATATTGCTGGTAGGAATGTAAAATGTAGCAGCCTTTTGAGCAGTTTCTCATAAAGCTAAACACATTTATGTAAAAACTTATACATGAATGTTCGTAGTAGCATTATTACTATTTGAGACAGAGTCTTACTCTGTCACCCAGGCTGTAGTGCAGTGGCACAATCTCGTAATCTTGGTTGACTGCAACCTCTGCCTTTTGCAGTACTTTGGGAGGCCAAGGCAGGTGGATCACCTGAGGTCTGGAGTTCAAGACCAGCCTGATCAACATGATGAAACCTCGTCAATACTAAAAATACAAAAATTTGCTAGGTGTGATGATGGGCGCTTTTAATCCCAACTACTCAGGAGGCTGAGGCAGGAGAATCTCCTGAACCCAGGAGGCTGAGATTGCAGGAGCTGAGATAGTGCCACTGTACTCCAGCCTGGGCGACAAAGCCAGACTCTGTCTCAAAAAAAGAAAAAAAAAAAAAACCAACCCTGCAAAAATGATTACGTTAAAAAAGTAGACAAATTTATGAACAGATAGAGTATTTCAGCAAAAAGACGTTACATATAAGAAAAAAATCAAATGGAAACATTAATAATTTTTTTAGAAAACCATGTAAGAGGCTGGATGTGGCAGCTCACACCTGTAATCCCAGAACTTTGGGAGGGTGAGGTGGGTGGATCACCAGAGGTCAGGAATTGGAGACCAGCCTGACCAACCTGGTGAAATCTCGTCTCTACCCAAAAATTAAAAAACTGGGCACAGCGGTGTGTACCTGTAATCCGAGCTACTAGGGAGGCTGAGGTACAAGAATCACTTGAACCCGGGAGGTGGAGGTTGCAGTGAGCCAAAGGTTGCAGTGAGCCAAGATCATGCCACTGCACTCCAGCCCGGGTGACACACACTTTGTTTATAAAGCCATAGACGGGTTAAAAGTAAATGGATAGAAAAAAGATATACCATGCAAATACTAATAAAAAGAAAGCTGCAATGATTTACTAATATGAGACAAGCAAGAAGTCAGAACAGAGCTTATTAACTCAAAATGAATCACAGACCTAAATGTAAAAGCACAAACTACAAAACTTGTAAGAAAAAAAAAATAGGGAATTTATGACCTTTGGTTAGGCAAAGGTCTCTTAAAACACAAAAAGCACAAACCACAAGAGAAAATTTTGACTTAATTTAAATGTAAAACCTGCTTTTGAACAGCTATTAAAATGCAAACTACAGGCCAGGCACAGTGACTCACACGTATAATCCCAGCACTTTGGGAGGCCCAGGTGGGTGGATGGCTTGAGTCCAGGAGTTCAAGACCAGCCTGGACGACATGGCCAAATCCCATCTCTACCAAAAATACAAAAATTAGCCAGGTGTGGTGGCGCATGCCTATAGCTCCAGCTACTCCGGAGGCTGGGATGGAGGGATCCCTTTAGCCTGGGAGGTGGAGACTGTAGTGAGCGGAGATTGCGCCACTGCACTCCACTTCAGCCTGGGTGACAGAGTGGTAACCTGCCTCAAACAAAAACAAAAACAAAAACAAAAAACCACAACAAAACCAAAAACAAACAAAAAGAAATTTTAAGAAAAGAAAATGCAAACTACAGACTGGGCGACCATATTTGCAAATCACAATCTGATAAAGTTGTTATATCCAGAATATATAAAGAATTCTTGCAACCAAACTAAAAGACAAATAATTCAATTAAAACATGGGAAAAGGAGGCTGGGAGCAGTGGCTCATGCCTGTAGTCCCAGCACTTTGGGAGGCTGAGGCGGGCTGATCATGAGGTCAGGAGTTAGAGACCAGTCTGGCCCAGCTAGTGAAACCCCGCCTCTACTAAAAAAATACAAAAATTAGCTGGCCATGGTGTTGTGTGCCTGTAGTCCCGGCTACTTGGGAAGCTGAGGCAGGAGAATCGCTTGAACCTGGGAGGCAGAGGTTGCAGTGAGTTGAGACTGCGCCACTGCACTCCAGCTTGGGAAACAAAGCGAGACTTCGTTTAAAAAAAAAAAAAAAAAAAAAAAAAGTGAACAGACACTTCACCAAAGAAAATATATGAATGACAAATAACCACGAGAAGCTCAATAATATCAGTCATTGGGGATATCCCAGAACTTTGGGAGTTATATTATATTATATATATAATATATATATACTAATATATTATGTTAAAAATTATATTAATAATTACCTATTACTACACATGTGCTAAAATGCCTATAATTAAAAAGAATTAACAATACCAAGTTCTGGCAAAAATGTAAAAGCAACAGAAACTTTCATACATTGACGGTAAAATGTTATAGCCATTTTGGAAAGTGGTTTGGCAGTTTTTTTTTTTAAGTTAAATACATACTTACCCAGCAATCCCACTTTTACGTATTTACTCAAGAGAAATGACAACTTATGTCCATACAAACATCTGTACATGTGTTCATCATAATTTTATTTATAAGAGCCAAATACCTAGAGAAAAAAACAGAAATATGGGTAAGCTTAAGCACAGAAAAAACAAATAAACAAAGGCCCTCCCTCCCCCAGAAATATCTGTCATCTACTGAATGGAAAAACAAACTGTGATATACATATCTAATGGAATCTGACTCGCCATAAAAAAGGAACCAGGGATACATGAAACATAAAAGAGTATATATTGTATGATTCCATTTAAGTAACATTCTGGAAAAGGCAAAATTATAGGAAGTGGTTGTTAGCGGCTGGGGTTGTGGTGAGGGCATTGATTATTCTCTACAAAAAAAATTTGAAAATTATCCTGTATGAGGTGTCTGGTAAAGAAAAAGAAAAAAATAAACAAACAAACAAACAAAATTTAAAAATTAGCCAGACTGCTGGGCATGGTGGCTCACACCTGTAATCCCAGCTTTGGGAGGCCAAGGTAGGTGGATTACTTGAGGTCATGAGTTCGAGAGCAGCCAGGCCAATGTGGTGAAAACCCATCTCTACTAAAAATACAAAAATTAGCTAGACGTTGTGGTGCGCGCCTATAGTCCCAGCTACTTGAGAGGCTGAGGCAGGAGAATGGCTTGAACCCAGGAGGCAGAGGTTGCAATGAGCCAAGATCATGCCACTGCCCTCCAGCCTGGGTGACAAAGTGAGACTCCATCTCAGAAAAAAAAAAAAAAAATTAGCCAGACATGGTGGTGTGCATGGTGTGCACCTGTGGTCTCAGCTATATGGGGGGCTAAGGAGGGAGGATCACTTAAGTCTGGGAGGTTGAGGCTATGTGATCGATCAGGCAAGGCATGATCACTCCAGCCTACGCAATAGAGCAAGATCCTGTCTAAACAAACAAATAAACAAAAACTCTAAAATACTTTAAAAACTTAGTTTCTCTTTTTTAGAATTTATAACTTTACTCATAAAATATCTGACGGGAATTTTTGCTGACCAAAGAAATGCTATAATTTTGTTCTAACAGTTTTACTGAGTTGACTATTATTCTGAGGCTGCAACATTAATTCATCATTCAACTCAGCTATAAAGAATAAATATATAACGTAAAGAACGACAAGCTCTATAATGAAAAATAAAACGGAGTTTAAGGGATGTAACATGACGAGAAGAGATAAGATGGGGTCAAGATCTTTTAGATAAGATAGCTAGGACAGACAACCCTAAAGATGTACATCTGGGAAGACACCTTAATTTAAAAAGTAAGCAATGCAAATCTCTGGAGAAGTAGCTGTGACCCTAGCAATTTAATGTCATCCTTAAGAAAAATTAAATAATAATAAAAGAAAGGCCAGGTACAGTGGCTCACACCTATAATCCCAGCACTTTGGGAGGTTGAGGCAGGCGGATCACGAGGTCAAGAGATCAAGACCATCCTGGCCAACACAGTGAAACCCCATCTCTACTAAAAAAATATACAAAAGTTAGCCGGGCGTGGTGGTGCACACCTGTAGTCTCAGCTATGAGGGAGGCTAAGGCACAAGAATCAACTGAACCTGGGAGGCGGAGGTTGCAGTGAGCCGTGATCACGCCACTGCACGCCAGCCTGGGTGACAGAGCAAAATTCCGTCCCCCAAAAAAACTAGGAAACTGAATATGCCTGCTACAAAGGAATTATACAGAATGACAGCAAGCACCAGGCCAAGCACAGAACCCTGAACACCACTGATTAAGGAATGAGTGGGAGGGAAAAACCACAAAATTATAATAGAGACAATGAAAAAAGAATTGGAAGAAAACCAGAAAAATGGCCAAATGACAACTAATATTAACTGATCATTACCATCCAAGTTACTGTGTCAGCCTCTTCACATGAATTGCTTCACTGAACCCTCCCAATGACCCTAAAAGACAGTCTTTTTATTACAGTGTTTTAGACGAGGATGCTAAGACAGGTATTGCATGGTAGCTGAGAAAATGGGTGTAGAGCCAGACTGCCGTTTTGCAAATCCTGCCTTTACTAGCTATATGTTTCAGTTTCCTATTCTTTAAACAGGAGAGAGCAATATCAATGTCATAGGGTTTCATAAATTAATTACCACTTTAAGTGCCGAGAATGGTGCCTGGCACAAAAGCAGCACTCAAATACCACTAGGTGGGAGTATAGACTGTCAAAGAAAAGCAATATGAGGTATCAAATGATAACCTGCATAATAAACTAGTATTTGACAGGATTTCTACCCCTTTTACATATAAATGTAAGTATATATATATTTGTGTATGTGTATAGACTAGATGCTTATAAGGTAAATTCACAATACGAATGATCCCCCCAAAATGCTTCCCTAATTCATAAAGACACTAATATATGGATTTTAAAATTTTCCACTGTTAATTGGTGGATGAAATAAGATTAAGCCAGAATGAGGCTTCCTGACGTTGAATAGTTTACAATCATGTAAACATATCTCTAGACAATAAAGCAATATTTTATAAATATTTATTGACAGCTAGAGATACTTTCTTTTGCATTCTCAGGTTGATTCACTACTTAATTTTCCAAATTAGGAGACCATCCAAAAGAACTATGCTGAAATAGAAATCAAAACAAATCCCTAAACATAAATATTTATAGCCTGTATAATATTCATGTAAAGATACAGCAGAACTAGCTCTTGTAACCACTTTTGTGTTATAATGCGGTAAGATCAGAATCTATTAAATTCTAAATTCATTTCCTCTCTTCTGAACACAGTAAAAGACCATGATATCAGAGAAATAACCAACAAAAGGCATAACCCTTGAACCATCTGGGAAGAAATGGATATTAAGAGGAGAAAAAGTTCACATGTACTTTATAGATCAGATGTGCAGGATAAAAAGAACTGAAAATCATGCACGGTCAATTGTAACTTCACTAAACATAGGAATTAGACTTAAGCTATCAAACTGTTTAAATACTTGCTTTCCTTGTCCTTGGCACTGATTACTACTGCCATCTATCAGGAGATCCAAAAATTAAGAAAACTGTAAAATATCACCGGGACATAATTCCAATCTTCAAAAAGAAAGATGTCTAACATATTAATAATTACTTAAATTTCAGGGTGGGCACAGTGGCTCATGTGTGGAAACCCAACACTTTGGGAGGCCAACGTGGGTGGATCACTTCAGTCCCGGAGTTCAAGACCAGCTTGGCCAACACGGCAAAACCCTTGTCTCTGCTAAAAACACAAAAATTGGCTGAGCATAGTGGCTCACATCTGTAATCCCAGCACTTTGGGAAGCCAAGGTGGGTGGATCACCTGAGGTCAGGAGTTCTTGACCAGCCTGACCAACATGGTGAAACCTTGTCTCTACTAAAAATACAAAAATTAGCTGGGTGTGGTGGCGGGTACCTGTAATCCCAGCTACTTGTGGGGATCAGGTAGGGAGAACTGGTTGACCAGGGAGGCAGAGATTGCAGTGAGCTGAGATCTTGCAACAGCACTCCAGCCTGGGCGACAGATCAAGACTCCCTCTCAAAAAACAAACAAACAAAAAAAACAAACAAACAAATGAAGGGATAAATATTCAGGGAAATAAATAGCTTAAAGAAAAACAAGGCTGGGAGTGGTGGCTCACACCTATAATCCCAGCACGTTGGGAGGCCAGGGCAGGCGGATCACAGATCAGGAATTCGAGACCAGCCTGACCAACATGGTGGCACCCCAACTCTACTAAAAATACAAAAATTAGCTGGGTGTGGTGGTGTGTGCTTGTAATCCCAGCTACTCAGGAGGCTGAGGCAAGACAATCACCTGAACCTGGGAGGCGGTGGTTGTAATGAGCCAAGATCGCGCCACTGCACTCCAGCCTGGGTGACAGAGTAAGACTCCATCGTAAAAAAAAAAAAAAGAAAAACAAAGATACAGAACTGCAGAATGGATAAGAACTCACCAACCAACTATCTACTGCCTTTAGGAGACTTATCTAACACATGAGGACTCACATAAACTTAAAGTAAAGGGATGGAAAAAGGCATTTCATGCAAATGGACACCAAAAGTGAGCAAGAGCAGCTATCAGGCAAAACAAACTTTAAAGCAACAGCAGTTAAAAGAAACAAAAAGGGACATTATAAAATGGTAAAAGGCCTTGTCCAACAGAAAAATATCACAATCCTAAACACATATGCACCTAACACTGGAGCTCCGAAATTTATAAAACAATTACTAACAGACCTAAGGCATGAGATAAGAGCAACACAGCAATAGTGGGGGACTTCAATACTTCACTGACAGCACTAGACAGGTCATCAAGACAAAAAGTTAACAAAGAATGCATTTAAACTATATCTTGGGGCCAGGCGTGGTGGCTCACACCTGTAATCCCAGCACTTTGGGAAGCCAAGGCAGGTGGATCACGAGGTCAGGAGTTGGAGACTCCTAGATAACATGGTGAAACCCTGTCTCTACAAGAGACACTGGGCATGGTGGCTTGTGCCTGTAGTCCCAGCTACTCAAGAGGGACTGGGACAAAAAATTAGCTGGGTGTGGTGGCTCGTGTCTGTGGTCCAGCTATTCAGGATGCTGAGTCAGGAGAATCTCTTGAATCCCGCAGGAGAATCGCTTGAACCCAGGAGGTGGAGGTTGCAGTGAGCAGAGACTGTGCCACTGCACTCCAGCCTGGGCGACAAAGCAAGACTCCGTCCAAAAAAAAAAGACACACACACAACCAAAAACAAAATCATTTCATTTTATAAGCACAGAACACACATTCTATTCACCAGCATATGGAACTTTCTCCAAGATAGGCCATATGACAGACCATAAAATGAGCCTCGATAAATTTAAGAATACTGAAATCATATCAAGCACTGTCTCAGACCACAGAAGAATAAAACTGGAAGTCAACTCCAAAAGGAACCTCAAAACCATGGAAAATAAATAACCCGCTCCTGACTGAGCACTGGTTCAAAAATAAAATCAAGATGGAAATTTAAAAATTCTTCCAACTAAATGACAAAATGTATCAAAACCTCTGGGATACAGCAAAGGCACTTCTAAGAGGAGA